CTCCGTCTAGGCATCTTTTGAAGTGATCCCTGGTACCTCTAGAACTACATTTGCCTTCTCTGGCTTGCTTGTCCATGGTTCTGGCCTAAGTTTTTCGCACAGAGCTACATCTCTGTCAAGCAGATCTTGGTTCTGTCTGTACAGTTCTCTAGCAATGTGGTTGGGGCTCTGAAGCTTCAGTCTGTTTTTTGTTCTCTCTTGAAATTTAAAATGCAGTGGGTGATTTTGACGTATTTTTAATTTCTCATATTGTAAAAGAGTTTTGTATTGTCTTCTAAGTTCGAGTGGTTCAGTATCTGCTATCCTCTCTATCTCTCTGATGGGGGTGGATTTCATGGCTCCGAGAACAATCCTTAATCCCGTATTCTGAACCTTGTTCAGTTTTCCCATTGTTGTCTTGGCTGCTGCAGCCCATGCAGTGGAGGCATATTCCATGACTGGCCTGACTGCTCCAGTATATACTTGTTTTAGGATTCTGGAGTTAGCTCCCCATGTGGCACCCGCTAATTTTTTCATCACTGCAAGCTTCTTGAATGCTTTCCCCTGTACTGCTTCTACGTGTGACTTCCAAGTTAGTCGCGAATAAAGTCTAACGCCAAGAAAGGGAGGAGTGTCCGTCTGTGGAATGAGCTGGTTTTTTTAATCCGAATTTCGATTTTTTTCTTTTTTTTGGGGGTATGAAATCAGTATGAAATTGATATGTGCAAAACTTTTTTTTACCCAGAGTAGTTTTCTTAACAGTACTTATAGCACTACTAATTATGTATCCTCAAGGTACAAACAGCACAAACAAATTTGTCCAGTTGCATCTTGTTGGATGAAATCAATTCCTTATCATTGCGAATTTTTTGGTAACTGTTTAAAAATACATCACACATATTTCTTATACTGCATGCAACAACGCGTATAAGTATCATGAGTGGTATTTAATTTTAAAGGTAATCAAATCAAATTAAAAAAGACCATATAATTGCAAATTGCTGAGCAACATACACATATCAAACACAAAAATCCCCATATAGATACCGTATCTCGTTCAAAACTGTCTGGAACAAGACTAAAGCCCGGAATAAGATGAACAACCAGAAGTTTTTGCCAGTGTTCAGGAAGCAAAAGCCAGTTTACAAAAATTAACACAGACCGTACAACTACAAATATGCATAAGAAGTGGATGAACAACAAGAAGTTTCCGCAAGAGTTTATAGCCAGTGTTCGCGAGGCATAAGACAAATGGTTGAGAATTAATAATATTAGTGTACTTCTACAACATATAATTGTACTGTTAGTCAACAATTAGTAAAGAGGCAAACAGTGACTTGCTGTAAGAAGTTAGTTAGTAAATTCAATACTATTTTCATCCACTTACCTAGAGCTCTGAAATATCTTGACACAATTTATCCGCAGTGTAGTTGCACCATTTATGCACAGTCAATATGAAAGCAATAGTTTTCTTCCAACACAAGATAGTTTGCACCTGACAACTGTCGATATTCTCCAGATATGGCTTCTTAATTACCTGTTTGTATTTTACCTAAAAGTAAGGTTTCTACATTTAAAGTAGAAAAAGAATAAACAGCCAGTTCCCAAAAATCCGAACTACTGACTAGAAACAGTGACACACACATCACAACACGACTGTCTGCAGTGAATTAAAATTAAAATTGCTGTAATCTAGCAGCAAAGTGTAAAACTTTTGTATATCTACTTCACAATATTCGCTTGTCGATTTGTAATACGAATACGTTTAGAACACAGGACTTTGTAAGCATATTAAAATGTCACACAATGCAACATAGAAACGCTCTCAGGAACCTATTTTCGAGGGGACTCAGCCAAAATGTACCGTGATTCAGTTGTTAGACATAAGTAAGAAGAAACTCCACAGGGGAGCATGTACAGCAGGGGTCTACAAATCATCAGTAGAAGTTAATCTCTCGTCGACAAATGTTTCGGCCCACGAACTCCTAGACATTCTCGGAGAGTGGGCCAACCTGAGTTCATGAAGCTCAGGGTTGGTTTCCCCTGCTGCACGAAATTACCGGATGTTGTTCGGATAGGAACAAGACGAATTGGTGATTTTGCAGAAGGTATTGTGAGATAAGAAGTCGTCGCGGTAGCATAATTAAAGCAGTCTGCATACCTGAACGACCGAGGGGCAAGCTTACGATTGGTATACCGGACACATGTTAGACTTTTGTTAGCAGGTGGCAGAGGAACACTGGCAGACAATTCGGACACGATGGACTTTCAAGGGATGAGAAATTCTTTTCCGTTAGACACCTGGACCAGCTCACCGAGGCCCGTCAATTACGTTGTTTCGTTGTGTCCAGAGCCAGCTCGAGGCCCTCTCAGCAACTTTGCCCAGCTGTTTTATTAGAGAAGGCAATACAACCTTGCACAAACATTATATACGCCGAGCGAACGCCAAACCAAGCCATATCACGGCACCCCCGCAACATAGGAGAGGTTCTGCGACCCGACGAGGCGTGAATGGCAAGGAAAGTCACTCTCTTTCTGGGCCTGGAAACGTAAAATGAGCATTAGAATACTTCGCTGGTTGCTGAAGAATGTAGTAGTAGCAGCACTTCTACTCCTTCAGTAACTCCATGGAAATGTTGAGTGGGGATGTAAGGAACCTCTGTGCTTTCTGTCTAATGTGCTGTATAAGTTAATCTTCATTCCCTTAAGGCTGTTCCGTCTTTTGAGGGTGTTTTTTAATTATTTTTGCTGAAGAAATTGGCTATGGGAGGAGGAAAACAAAGCTGGTTATTTTTATATGGTAAGCATGGATTTTATTTACGTGAAAACGGCAACAGAAACTACAACGACTTTTCTTCTTCATCATTTCGAGCCCTTGAGGTTCATTCCTGAGGATATCATTTGCCTTTTTTTTTATCTCCGATTAGCTCTCTTTTTCCAATTGGTGATTCCAAGTGTTTGTGAATTTGTGTATTCTTGTTCGTTTATGGTTATTGCAGATTTAATTTTGTGCTTAAGAATTCTTTCTAGCCGCAGCGTTTACTTGTAGTCTGTGTTATTTTGAAGGTGACTGGTTTTATTTTTCGTTTGGTTTGATATCATTTAAAGTGTTTGTAGCTCTGCATGCATATTATTTCTACATCGTCCTCTTGGTCTACTCCCTTGCAACTGTGTTTGCAGTTTTGTCTGTCTACTGTATTTATTACTGTTCATTAACTTATTTCCGCTAAAGAATGTGGTTAAGGAAAGAAGAAAACAAAGATGAATATTGTGATAGGAGTAAGGAAGGAATGTTCCACGTGGAAGCAGGGAGTGTGCTATGTTATCATGCCTCCCTGCCACGCAGCAGACTCCGTACAGGCATCCCTCCGCCCGCCTGGTTAAAAATTGCACGCCACGTTGGCACGCCAGCCATTGGCTTCTTGCCGTCACATGACCCAAATACGACAATCTGATTGGAGTGAACTCTTGTATCAAGGAAATAGAGAAAAGGGCAGACACAGCTCGTCGACCATGATCTGCGTACGTGGATACAGTTTGTGATTGTGTGTTATCTGTTTGGGAGTTTTCGGCATCATCTGCTATCGATTGATCAGTAGAAATAGAACACACAGATTAACACAGGTAACGGGTTTGCACTTCCCTTTCAGGATTAAGCTAATCGATTTATTTAAAATTCTTTGATCTAGACTACCCGGCGTATTCTCTTTAAAGGTAGAAGAAGAATAGATATTTGCTGCAGATGAAATAATGAATAAAATGAAATAAATTCGTAGTCGATTGTCCTCTTGTCAATGATTGCTCAAGGGTACTTTTGACTTTGTAAACTATTTGTTTGTTTTTTATTTTATATAAAAGAAAGCGAAGCAGAATTGCAGCAGCTGTGCATGAGGTGAGGTACAGAACATCTCCTTATACACTTCACAACGGTGTTCACTTTCCTTCATGTCTGTGATCAAAATCACATGCCAAATTTGTGAATACGAGGGTTCGATTTCCATGGTGGGCAATTTATTAAAAAAGATTAATGTGGAAGAGATTGTCCCTGTGTGGGTTCTGGTGCCCCATTTTGGGAAAGAAAACAATAGATCCACTACCCCCCCCCCCCCCATCACAAGCATGTCATAAAAGGCATTTGTCTGAGAGATAGGGAACCAACAGTCTGCATACAAATAAGCCAGATCTGTAAAGTGAGTTCTTGAATAAGACTTAAGTACAAAAGTGGACGAGCAATGAGACCTTTCCACCGGAGTTCACAGCCATTCAACGCGAAAAAGAAAATGGAAGAGACTGAGTGCTCATATAATATTCCTAAAGAGAGCAGTAGATACACCGTAGCCATCCTTCATTGTGGAGACAGCACCAAATTGAAAAGTTGTCTCTCCTTTAAATAATGGTCGCTAGCTGGAAGGCGACGGTCGCTTAGTCGGAGTTCACTCCCTTGGCTGCAGTGCAAATACGGAGTGGACAAGTCACGAATCAAAAACAAGGTCAACAGTGACATACACACCCAAACAATTGAAGGACTGTGGATGCTACTCAAACGGACAATTCGCCATCAATTGGGCACTAGCCGCGCGCTATTGCCGTCATATTTAGGAGAATTCCAGTGGCGCCACTCCCACAAGCAGCACATTGTCGGCCATTATTTGGAACGCCTGCGTCAAAATTTTCACATATAGCGGCCGTTATTATGGGTAAGTACTCGACGCTACATGTGTTACCCAAACCCTAACCCAAACCCTAACCCTACCCCATACCCTAAGCCTAGCCTAACCCTAAGCAACCGTAGGATGACAGGTAAGTATGTCATTTGTTTCGTTTCCTCTTTACCACTCCGTATTTGCACTGTAACCAAGGGAGTGAACTCTGACTAAGCGACCGTTGCCTTCCAGCTAGCGACCGTTATTTAAAGGAGAGCCGAAAAGTCATATAGGAATATTTGAAGTAGAAGAAAATAATGGAGACAGACATGAAGTATATTTATCTTTCTTCTCCCAGCAGATTGGCATTATTACAAGATGCAGAAATCTGGCAACAGGATGAGTTTGATTGTGTTTATGTTGGTGGTGTTCGAACTGACTCAGGTTTACTGCAGCGCCATTCCTGCCGGGGAAATAAAGCAACGAGTCCATGAAAAGGTCAGTTCACTCTTGTTTTGTCTATACAGTATTGGAATGTCCTGTGTGGGTGCCAGGGCCTCATTGTGGGGAAAACCAGAATAGACTCACTGCCTCCACAACATGCATGTCGTAGAAGTAGACTAATTAGGGACATCCTTCGAAGTCTGAATACGTCTACCTGAGAGGGAATGAACCACAATTCTGCATATTAATAAGCCAGATTCCCCGTGTGGGTTCCGGGGCCCCATTGTGGGGAAAACAAGAATAGACCCACTGCCTCCCCAAAAGCATGTCGTAAGAGTCGACTAATTGGGGAGCTTCCTTTGAAGTCAGAGTGCATCTGCCGGAGAGGCAAGGAACCGACAGTCTGTATTCAAGAGAATGAGATCTGTAAAACTGATGCATACGCAACACTCAGGTTCTGGAGCAGGACTGCAGTTCAGTAGTGGACGAGGAACCAGAACCTTCCGCCAGAGTATACAGCTGGTGAACGCGAAGAAGAAGAAGAAGAAGAAGATAAGCCAGATCCGTGAAACGGATGTGCACACAACACTCGGGTTCTGGAGCAGGACTAAAGTCTGGGGTAAAACTCACGTTAGTCTCCCCATGGACCACCCATATACACACTAGCTCACCTCTTATTAGTAGACCTTGAGCGGCGTGACCTTGGCACTGTCCCAAATACAACATATCAAGGCAAAACTTTTGGCCAAGAGAAACATTGGTGCAAGTCAAACTTTACGGGTCGCAGAGTGAATTACAAAAGACAGTGAAGTTCATACTAGAGACAACATTGAAGATATAAATAGATAATTTATTTCAAGCAAACAAAAGAGAAAGAAAAAGTGAAATACGGATTAATTTGTAACAGTTTTGTGGTGCCCCATTCTATAGGCTATAGGGTGAATGGGGGGGTCATGATTTGCAAATGCATATCTGGAAGGGACATACTTAGAAAAACCCAACACAGATCATTTACTAATACAACCAACCAGCAATGGAATACAGGTTTCTTTGTAACCATTAAAGTGTTGCTCCAAAATAAGCGTGCATTATGGCTGTATGATTGAACCAGGTTTCCGTGGTTTACAGATGCAAATCTGGAGGAAACAAATATAAAAAAATCAATACCAAGACAGTTCTGTCATCTTTACCAACAAATGATTACACATTACAATTGGCTGATGTAGTAATTATGGGTGGCCTAACTATCACTTCTTTTGAGGTTAAAAGGCTGTCTAGAATCTGCCCTGTTAGTCTGTCAACCAGGCTTAGATTTTGTTGGATCTCAGGATAGTAAATCTTAAGGTAGCATCTCAGAGGTGACAGCCCAATCAGTTAATTGAAGAGAGTTGTCTGGGTTCTTTGTCTTTGTTTGCCCCTAAAAGAAACGGTAGATGGCAGGTAATTTTGTGGTTTACAGGTACACTTTGCGTTAAATGTTTGGTGCGGCACTGTGAGCTGTATATTTTATTTGGAATACCATTTTGCATGTGCATGTGTCAGGATTTTGCCGGGAGTTCTGATTGTTGTTTAGATTTTAGGAAAAAACAAACGTTCAAACACAATGAGCTCCTAAGAACAGCTTTGGTTATAATTGTGGTCTTGTTTCTTTGTTTAAGCTTATATTATTTGTATTTGTGCCACAATTAATAGCTTAAAAATTGTGTGTGTGTGCCATTATAAATGGCTTTGTCTTGACTGGCATATCATGTTGTACATGTGTGTCTGGGTACTTTAATTTAGTCCTTTGGTAGGTATCCTTATTGCGTGTTCCACCTCCTGGCTTAGACTCTGATTGTGCAGTGTATGAAGAGGTTATTCTCTTGTAGTCCAGCTTAATATAAATATGTTTTAAAGTGGCATGTCTCACCTCCTGATTTAGGCTCTGATTGTACTATATATGAACAGGTTATTCTCTTGTAGTCCAGCATAATATATATATGTTTTAAAGTGGCATGTCTCACCTCCTGATTTAGGCTCTGATTGTACTATATATGAACAGGTTATTCTCTTGTAAATAATGTCCACAGATAAAACTGGCTGTCACCCAAAAAAAATAATAATAAATAATGAAGAAATTGAAAATGTCACACACTTTGAATGTCTAGGCTCTATAATAAACAGCAAAGGAGACTGTTCAACAGAAATTAAAAGGAGGATGGCCATAGCTTTGCAAAGATTGAACAACCTTAAAAGTCTATGGTTAAGCACTAGCAAGGAGATAAAAGTTAGAATTTTGAGATCATGCATCTTCCCTGTGGCTACGTACGGATGTGAGTCGTGGACTATCTCTCAGTCCTTAAGAAAGAGAATAGGGGCTTTTGAGCTGAAATGCTATAGAAAGATTCTCAGAATATCTTGGACAAAGAAGATAAAAAATATTGACATCTTGAAATATCTGAACATCAGGGAAGATTGGCTAATAAACAGCATCCTTTTTCGGAAGCTGAAATATTTTGGTCATATCAAGCGCCACAACGGATTGGAAAAAATTATAGCAGAAGGCATGGTACCAGGAAAGAAGAGCAGGGGCCGACCGACACGAAAATGGGCACAGGATATAAGAGACTACTTGAGTATGAAAGTATATGAGGCGGGAGAACTGGCGAGAGACCGAGTTTCTTTTAGGCAGACCTGTGATGAGAGTGACGTTCTGCAAAGGACCTGCTACATGATGATGATTCTCTTGTAGTCCAGCTTAATATAAATATGTTTTAAAGTGGCGTGACCCACCTTCTGATTTAGGCTCTGATTGTACTATACATGATCAGGTTATTCTCTTGTAGTCCAGCTTAATATATTTGTTTTAAAGTACTGAGTCCTATAATTTATCTTTAAGATCTAGTTAGTATCATTATAATACTCATGTATATTATAGTAATGTCCTAGTGAGAGTTGCCAGGAGTAATTGTTCATTAGTTTTTAAACAGGACAGGGAGAGGCATTTCACGTGAACACATGGGTCTTGGGTGAGTATGGGTACCCATGGTTAGTGCAGTTGCCATGCCATATAACATAGTGCTGTGTTTATTTCCTAACCTACACAGTTCATGTTGACTGCGCACCAAATACTGTCCCTGATGTTTTATTTTCTTAAATATTTATTAAATACAAACAGAACAAATAAATAAAGGCATTCTTTGCCTGTCACCAAGAAAACAGGATATTCTTCTTCTCTACTTTGTGTTAACTGGCTGTAAACTCCGGCGGAAAGTTCTGGTTGTTCGTCCACTTCTGTACTGCAGTCCTGTTTCAGAACCTGGCAGAGGCACTCCGATTTTGATGGAAGCTCCCAATTAGTTGACTCTTACGACATACTTTTGGGTACGCAGTGGGTCTATTCTTTTTTTTCCCTATAATAGGGCCCTGGAACCCACACAGGAAGAAAACAGGATAATATTTTTAATCTCCCTGCTCCACACACAAGCACACATGAGCGTGCGTGCACGCATACACACACACACACACACACACAGAGCCAAATTTTTTCACCACAGATAATATCTTTCAATTTTTTCTTTTTTTCAAAACATAGTCATGCCCTCTTTGTCTGTGCACTGTGCATCTGCAATCAGTACCAAAGCTGTTATAAAGACATATTGGCCACTACCCAAAGACATCATGTCATCAAAAACCCGTAAAGTTGGAAAACCAGCTTTCTCACGTTGAGAGAGTTATGGGTAGAGAATAGTTAATATTATTTTCTTGTTATCTTTTAATTTATGGCTATTGGGCTGAGAGATTGAGTACAGAACTCATCACGGTGTTTGCATAGGAGGATGGTTCCAATAATAACTAACAAACATGCAACATACACAAGCAGTTACCATACCCTTAGGCTTCTTTTGGGAGAGACTGAGTATCACTGGGCTTGCCCTGTGTGAATTGATGTTGCTTGTATATAGTCACAACCATAATAACAATGTTTTATTTTGGATGCATTTTCTAGTCGCTGAGTAATGAAGAACACGAGGTCAGAGGAGAGCACAACAACGATTATGATCACGATGCGTTTCTTGGTCACGAAGATGCAGAGACTTTTGACCAGTTGTCTCCTGAAGAGAGCAAAAAACGACTGGCGTAAGTATCGTGGTAAATGTGATGTCAGGAATAATAGCAGGCATGTAGGCTGGCATTTGGAACAGAAAGGACATTGATCTGGTAGCTTTGTTTATTTCAAACTTATTGGTGCTACCTGTTCTTTGTAGTAACAAGGTGGGCTAAGAGAGGGATCGTGCTGCATGAGGAACACATGGTCTTACAGTACTACCCAGGTTTAGTGCTGTGGAGAAGGACTTCATTCCTAGGCCTGTCATCAGGAAAGATAGAAAGGTACTAACAAAGAATGCACAGATGTAATATTTCTTTTCTTTTTCTTCCTTGGATATCACTTGTGTTGCCTCTAAGAGCTGACATGACAGCAGCAAGCATCCAAGAGTTCCCCAAAGTTTGTCCTTAATGTCCCTTTCCTCTGGCCATGTGTTTTCTTGCAGGTCTTGCACTTCTGCATTATGTGCTGAGGTGTTTCGGGGAATGGATTGGGCAGTCGCAGTAGGCAGATTTTGCAGCCTTTATTCTGTGCATGTGTGTGTTAAATCTGCAGTGTCCTGTTGTTAGTCTAAAAATTGTGGTGTATTGCCTTCTGTTAAGCCACTTGATTGGGTTTGGATTTTTGCTGTTTGTTCTCTGCTCCCAGGAATTCGCTTCTTGTTCAGTGTTTTTATTCTCTTATAGTCATATTGGATGGAGATCCTGTTTTCTCTCTATTCACTAGCTAAAACAAAACAAGTTAAATTAATCACTGTTTACAGTTGAACCAGTGAAAGCAGCCATGAGGAGCAGCTGGCTGAATGGTAAGAACACTAGGCTCTCAAGCGGGAGACCTCGGTTCGAACCTCAGTAAAGCTGGGGATTTTTGTTTCGGGGTAGGGGGAAGGGGGGCATAATAAAATCTTCACCTGCACAGCCATAGCGACAGTACTAGCCATGTGGCCGTAAATCCTCAGGCTCAAAGACCCCCTTGCCGCAAAAGTGGTATAATAAATTGCAGTAATTGGCAGAAAGCGGCAGTTGATTAGAACAGAAACAGTTAAATTAATTACTGTTTTAAATAGAACCAGTTAACCCTTTCTTCCCAGAAACACTTCAAAAAGACAGAAACCCATGCACATACCTGAAAAAAATCTTTAAAAAAAAAAAAAAAATCAGTTTACACAAATTGCTAATAAATTTATTAAAATTTATTTACCTACATTTTTTAATTTTGTTGAAATATATAAAGGGAGTAATGAATAAACAATAACGGTATGAAGCTTTACAGGGAGAACATTACCTAATACCTAAACAAATTTGTATTTATGATCCTTTCACCTCTAACACTGAGACTATGGGAAAATTATGGCGTCCAAATAGCTTTAATATGACATTTTGTTCAAAAGACCTCCCCCCAACCGCCAGCTGCTTTTAGTAAATGTATACAAATCCAAGCCTCTAAGCACTGCGCAGGTGCAAATAGAACCAATAGCATTTACCTCAGCTGTTCTGAGCACACTGCAGAAATGCCAACCAATCAACATTTATGGGGATGTTTCACAAACAAAAGTAAAAAGATTTTAGCTTCATGGGGTGAACAGGCTTTAAAGTAACAATGGTCTTTTTCAGCACACTGGTCCATGTTTGTGCTTTTTAGCCTCAGGTTTTCAAGGGCAGCCTCAGGTTTTGAAGAGGCAGCCTCGGCTTCATAAAATAGATGCTGATATTTGTGTCCTCAGATTTATCCTTTGTTGGCACAACCACCGTTTGAAATTTTTGTATTTGGCACCTTTCCCTTTTTCCAGATGATAGTGTTATACTGAGCTGTATCGGGGCATGGGATTCAGCGCACATGACAGTGGCGAGTGTGACTAGTAAGATCCACTCTGTTCCAGTTAAATCCAGGGATGAAGTTCCTCCTGTCCGTCTGTATAGAACAAAGCCTGGACAGTGTTGTAGAGAACATCACATGTTGCCCGTGCAGCATGATTCCTCCATGGCCTGTCTTGTGTACTCCAAATTTTCTACTTCTTTGTTCACTGCCTGTAGTCTCCGGCGGAAATTCCTGGTTGTCGTCCATTTGGACCTTGGCTTTGTGCTAGAACCTTAGTTTTGTGTGTACATCCATTTTACTGGCTTATTTATGTACAGTTGGTTGTTCCTTGCCTCTTAGGCAGATGTACTCCAACTTTGAAGGAATTCCTCAATAAGTCGACTTCTATGACATGCTTGTTGGGGAGACAGTGGGTTTTTTCTGGTTTTCCCCACACAGGAACTCAGAACCAGTTAAAGTAACCAAGACAAGACTGTTTAGGATAGAATAGCCAAAGTTCGAGAAGGCTAACCCAATCAGCGAGTGTCTGCAGGAGTCGGATGTGTCTGTCGAGAGGTGAAAATCTCACATCCATGTTGTAAACGGGCACAATGCAGTTGCATCTTCTGCTGAACACAGAAGAATAGCCAAAGTCACTGCTATTTATGATAGAAGAGCTGTGTGCAATTGAAAATGTAAATCTTGTGTTTTTTTGTCTGTGTGTTGGGAAAGGAGCAGGCAGATACACTGGCCGGTTCTGAACCACTTTGTGTTGAATTGATGTATGACAAGCTAGACATTCTGATGGCCCTTTGGGAGTGAGTGAACAGTGAGGAAGCAAAAGTAGATCATTATTATCTGAGAAGAATGGCACTGCGAGGAGTTACCAGGGGATCTGGTCGGTGCTCAACACTCAAGGGAAAGGCGAGACGGATGTACAGACAGTTACTGGTGCCATTGGAATTGGAACTCTTCGTTTGCTGCTGAAAATGGGGACGGAGTGCTTACAGGGGTGTCCCGAGTGCTATGATGTCAATTCGTAATTCAACATTAATCTTGTGTTTAAAAATTCTTTTTAAATAGCTCAATTGTCGACAAAATTGACAAGAACAAGGATGGGGAAATTACTGAGCAAGAACTGAAGGAGAGGATTCAGTACGTCCAGCACCGGTACATCGTCACAGATACAGATCGCATGTGGCGAGACCACGACCCAGACAGTGACAACACATTGAGCTGGGAGTCATACCAGAAACGAACCTTTGGATATAATGATGGTAATATGTTTTTCTGGTTCAACTCGTTTTCTTACTGCTTCTGATGTGTACATAACTCGTATTCTTACTGTTTCTCATGTGTACATAACTTGTATTCTTGCCGCTTTTTATGTGTAAATGATTTTTATTCCTACTGATTTTGATGTGTTCATAACTTGTATTCTTATTGATTCTGATGTGTTCATAACTTGTATTCTTACTGATTCTCATGTGTACATAGCTTGTATTCTTACTGTTTCTGATGTGTAAATGATTTGTATTTCTACTGATTTTGATGTGTTCATAACTTGTATTCTTTTTGATTCTGATGTGTTCATAACTTGTATTCTTACTGATTCTCATGTGTACATAGCTTGTATTCTTACTGTTTCTGATGTGTAAATGATTTGTATTCTTACTGATTCTGATGTGTTCATAACTTGTATTCTTATTGATTCTGATGTGTTCATAACTTGTATTCTTACTGTTTCTCACGTGTACATAGCTTGTATTCTTACTGTTTCTGATGTGTAAATGATTTGTATTCTTACTGATTCTGATGTGTTTATAACTTGTATTCTTATTGATTCTGATGTGTTCATAACTTGTATTCTTACTGTTTCTCACGTGTACATAACTTGTATTCTTACTGTTTCTGATGTGTAAATGATTTGTATTCTTACTGATTCTGATGTGTTCATAACTTGTATTCTGTTTCTCACGTGTACATAACTTGTATTCTTACTGTTTCTGATGTGTAAATGATTTGTATTCTTACTGATTCTGATGTGTTCATAACTTGTATTCTGTTTCTCATGTGTACATAACTTGTATTCTGTTTCTCATGTGTACATAACTTGTATTCTGTTTCTCATGTGTACATAACTTGTATTCTGTTTCTCATGTGTACATAACTTGTATTCTGTTTCTCATGTGTACATAACTTGTATTCTGTTTCTCATGTGTATATAACTTTTATTCTTCCCACTTCTGATGTACATTACTTGTATTTTTACTGCTTGTGTGTGTTTAAAAAAAATAACATGCTTGTCAAATGGAAGTCTATTCTGCCCCCCCTCCCACACACACACACAAGAAACACCCCCACACACCCAGACAAGGACAGTACGTAGACAAAAGTGACTAATTAAGAGTTCACTGAAATCAAATGTGTTGGGCCCAACGGTGCCCTATCACAGCCTATCTGTAAACCACATCACAACGTGCCAGCATGCTTTTTTAAGAGCAGATGGCAGAAGGAGAAATACAATGTAACTGAAAAGACTCGAATAATCTTTACATATTCCATGTGTGGGTCTAAGGACCCCATTTTTGGGTGTGGGGTGGAGAAATAGAATAGACCTGCTGCTCCCAAACAAGCCGGTTGCGTAAAAGACGACTAATTAGAAATGTTTGCTTCGAAGCCAGAGTGCATCTGCCTGGGAGGTGAGGAACTAACAATCTGCATACAAATAAGCCAGGTGTTTAAAATGAGTGTGCACAACAAACACAAGTTTTAGAACAAGACTTAACCCCAGAAGTAGACAAACAACCAGAATTTTAGATCAGAGTTTACAGCTGGTGAACGCTAGGGATAATTCTTTACATATATAATGTAATAGTGATACACTTGTTGTAAACACACAATTTTTGTACACACATTTTTTTTATGCACACACAGTTTTTGTGTGTATGTGCACACACAACTCTTGTACACATTTTTTTGGCACAGTTTTTCTACACACAAGTGTTACACACACAGTTTTTATACATGATGTTTGTACAGCATCAGATGAATTTCAATTTGTACCTTTCTGAAACTAGAACCTGTTGAAGGCTCCCCAACATTTGAGTATGCCACCATGATTAAGAGAGACAGACGAAGATGGCTGAATGCAGATAAAAATCAGGATGGGGTTTTAAACAAGGAAGAATTCACAGATTTTCTTCACCCAGAGGAAGCCGAGCATATGAGGAGTATTGTTGTAGATGTAAGTAGTCAGATAAGAACCAAGAGCTTTCAGTCAGGGGCTGTTAACATTAATATGTGGGGCTGTTAACATTAATATGTGGAGGCTTTGTTAACATGAATGTGTGGGTGCTTTGTAAACATTAATATGTGGGGGCTTTGTTAACATTATTGTGTGGGGGCTTAAAGGAAGAAGCTTGAATGGGTGATAGAAATTACAGTAGCCATACTTTTGTCTTGTAACCTCTCAGAATTATTGAGTTTATGTGAGTTTGTGGCTGCTAGACCTGTATGTGAGTTTGTGGCTGTTAACACTTGTGTTAGCATGTTGCTAACATTTTTTTTAGATGTGGCTGTTTATATTCATGTAACTTTATGGCTGTTAACTGTTATCATTTATGTTAGCTTGTGGCTGTTATAAATTATGTTAGCTTTTGGCCGTTATCATTAATGTGACTTTGTGGCTGTTTACTGTTATCATGTATGTAGCCATACTTTTGTCTTGTAACCTCTCAGAATTGTTAAGAATGTCAAGAGTTTTCTTTCGTAAATGAGTTTGTGGCTGACAACGTTTTTGTAAGTTTTGTGGTTGACATTTATGTGAGTTTGTGGCTGCTAGACCTGTATGTGAGTTTGTGGCTGTTAACACTTGTGTTAGCATGTTGCTAACATTTTTTTTAGATGTGGCTGTTTATATTCATGTAACTTTATGGCTGTTAACTGTTATCATTTATGTTAGCTTGTGGCTGTTATAAATTATGTTAGCTTCTGGCCGTTATCATTAATGTGACTTTGTGGCCGTTTACTGTTATCATGTATGTTAGCTTGTGGCTGTTATCATTTATGTGAGTTTGTGGCTGTTAACAGTTATCATGTATGTCAGCTTATTGCTGTTGTCATTCATGTTAGCTTGTGGCTGTTATCATGTATGTTAGCTTGTGGCTGTTATCATTTATGTGATTTTGTGGCTGTTAACTGTTATCATTTATGTTAGATTGTGGCTGTTATAATTTATGTTAGCATGTATTTGTAAACTGTTATCATTTATGTTAGCTTATGGCTGTTAACTGTAGCCATGTGGCTAACATTTTTGTTAGCATGTGACTGTTAACATTTGTGTAAGTTTGAGGCTGTTAACTGTTGTCATTTATGTTAGCTTATGTCTGTTAACATTTATGTGAGTCTGTGGCTGTTATCATTTATGTTAGCATGTATTTGTAAACTGTTATCATTTATGTTAGCTTATGGCTGTTAACTGTAGCCATGTGGCTAACATTTTTGTTAGCATGTGACTGTTAACATTTGTGTAAGTTTGTGGCTGTTAACTGTTGTCATTTATGTTAGCTTATGTCTGTTAACATTTATGTGAGTCTGTGGCTGTTACAAATTTATGTGAGTCTTTGACTGTCGGTGTTCATGTGGGTTTATGGTTATCAGTGTTAATGTGAGTATGTGACTGTCAGTGTTCACATATCTGTTGTAAGCAAGGTAAATCTGACATTATTATTGTTATTATTATTTTTTTTTTTAAACCAAATTGATTCTGGGATAGATGTGCCTTTATTAAATGGGTACGGGATCCAGACCACCTCCTCCCACTTAAAAATTCATTATCGTAGAAAAGTTTCAATCATGTGAAACCTAAATTAACAGAAGAGGAAGAGGAGATGATGGAGGAGCGTGATGAAGAAGAAAAAAAAGCAACAGCGATGGGGGTGGGGAGGGGGGACTGATATAACTGACATAACTTTTGTCTACTGTGCTGCTATACATTAAGTCTTTCGGCCCCAGAAGATAAGATTTTGCAGCAGATGTCTGAAAGTGACAGTAACCACATTGACAAATAAGGAGGTTTAACGTTCAAAGAGGCAATATTTGGAAGGCTGCTTATTACAGATGCCTTACCAGATTTTTTTACTATGCTCAGCCAAATGCAGATGATATCACTGCACCCATGCACTGCTCTGTATGGGCAGGTAGTTGCTGCTCACTGATTGTGTTTTAGGAGAAGATGTATGCTGTACCACTTGATGTAGATTGAGAACTATTTTTATTTCCTTTAGGAAACCCTAGAAGATATTGATAAGGATGGAGATGGTTACATCAGCATACAAGAATACATTGGTGAGATTACTTTTCATGACTTTTTTTGGAGACAGCTAAATATTGAAAGCTAGACCCATTACTCCAATAGTGGGTTCTGGGACCCTGTTTTTGGGGGAAAAAGAACAAACACGCTGCCCTCTCCCTAACAACTATGTTCTAAAATTTGACTAATTAGGGGTGTTTCTTTCAAAGTTGGCATGCATCTGTTTAAGAAATGAGGAGCAAATAGTCTGCATTAAAATAAGCCAGATCTGTAAAACAGATTTGCATGCAAAAACTCAAGTTCTGGAACTAGTTCATAATCTAGAAGGGGGTGAACAACCAGAACTTTCCGACAGAGTTTACAGATGGTGAACATGAAGAAGGAGAAGAAAATGCAGACCGATCTACAAACACTTGGAGTCACCAACAGGAAGGAGAAGGCCAGTTACTCAAATGAATTAAAGCAGGTGATATCTGCAGCAGTAAACCTGAAGGACTTAAAATGCTGAAGAGAGGTTCTGGGAGAATGTAAAATTATATGAAAACCATCATGATTTCTTCTTCTTCTTGTGATCACTTTGTAATTTACACAGACAGACAAGTTCATGTGATAAAATTGACTGTTTTTAGGAGTTCCCTTTTAGTTCCCTACAAACCATCATCATTATCATGTAGCAGATCTTTTGCCTTTTTTCAATAAAATCAGTCGCGGACACCGACTTTCTTTCTGTCCTTATTGTTTCTGAGCCTGCTTCTTAGCTGGTTCTGTTCCAGAGGGGAGTTAAATTAATTAATGAAACAATGCTGGATGCTTTCCTTGCTACCTCTACTGTTCCTCTTAGCTTTCACCGGCTGTAAACTCTGTCAGAAAGTTTTGGTTGTTTGTTCATTTCTGGAATTTGGTCTTGTTTGCATGCACATCCATTTTACAGATCTACCTCAACTTATGTTGGCTCCTCACCTCTCAGACAGATGCACTTCGACTTCAAAGAAAACATTCTCGATTTTTCCTTTTTTTTTTTTACAACCTGCTTGTTAGGCTTGCTGTTAGGGGGCGGAGTGGCCTCGAGGTATAGCATCCACCTCGAGTGCTGGAGGTCCCGGGTTCAAACCCCAGTGAAGGCTGGAATTTTTTTCACATTGACTTCTAGTAATTTCTCCTGGTCTCTGGGTATTAAGACCGGACGCCCGTGTGTATGGTTGAGCACAAAAACAATCCCTTGGCAATTGGAAATTGAAAAAGAGTAACGTAATGGGTCTGCCTGATCAAATTTTGGAGTTAAAAATCTACCCAAAGTATTTAAGTATCCTCGCCGGTTAACGGAGTTCCTGCACTGCGCTGAGATTCTTCATACTCATGTTTGAGTTAGAAGTAGAACGGAGCACTTATGGGTTACAACCGTGTGCCATGATGTTGATCCGTTGAATAAACATAAACATAAGGCTGGCAGTGGGTCTGCCCCACCACCACCACCAAATGTAATCACAAAACCCGCATAAAGACCTTACTGAAATCATGAAACCCGCATAAAGACCTTACTGAAATCATGAAACCCACATAAAGACCTTACTGAAATCATGAAACCCACATAAAGACCTTACTGAAATCATGAAACCCGCATAAAGACCTTACTGAAATCATGAAACCCGCATAAAGACCTTACTGAAATCATGAAACCCGCATAAAGACCATGTTGAAATCATGAAACCCACATAAAGACCTTGTTGAAATCATGAAACCCACATAAAGACCTTACTGAAATCATGAAACCCGCATAAATTCCTTAAAGAAATCATGAAACCCGCATAAAGACCTTACTGAAATCATGAAACCCGCATAAAGACCTTACTGAAATCATGAAACCCTCGCAAAACCTTACTGAAATCATAAAACCCTCACAAAGACCTTACTGGAATAATAAAACCCTTACAAAGACCTTACTGAAATCATGAAACGCTCACAAAACCTTACTGAAATCATGAAACCCTCACAAAGACCTTACTGAAATCATGAAACCTACACAAAGACCTTACCGAAAGAGTTATAAAATTCTTCAGTAACTTTACCTTTGATGTTCATCCATTAGGTCAGTCATTCTGAAGACTTGTGTTGACTCCACTGTCTCCTGTTCTCAGCTGCTCTCTTCAGGGAACTATCTGACCTGTGATGCAATATTTTCTTCTCCTCCTCCTCCTCCTTCCCACCACTCTTTCTTTTGCCTTAGCCCCTAAAAGTACAGTTGGCATGCTGTTTTGTTGTTTACAGCTAGTCTGTACTATTTTGTCTTTTGACCCAACACATCCAGTTTCATCCAGTTCTTAAATAGTGATCTTTTATGGCATGCTTGTTAAAGGGCAGTGGATCTGTCCTCCCCTCCCCCTCCCCACACAGGAAAAAGCCCCAAAGGCGGGACGCTTCCTGCGTATCTTCTAGTCATTGATGTTTTTGTAATATTACACTCGTTGACGGTAGCTGTCGTCGGTGATGAATCTGCTTGAAACGGTCAAAATGAGGAACACATGACACCCCTAGAATATAGGAGTTTCCTGGAAAATCCCCTACATTATCACGTGGCCTTTGAGATGGGATGACTTCCGCGATTTGAACATTTGATCTTATGCAGTAATTACCTGTAGCATTATGTTGGTAGGAATATTGATAATGTTAGAAAACATCTATCCCCATATCGGTTGGAGGACCACATTTTTTTTTATAGCACTGGGGAGCCGGTGTGGTGTTACAGCAGACGCTTGCCAGTGGATCTAAAGATCGGTTCAATACTGAAAGGGGCTGGACTTTTTTCAAAAATTATCTTGGCTCCAAGGTTGATCCAGCCTTAAATGGGTATCAGGTAAAAATTCCTGGGAAGTAAAGGCGGTCGGGATGATGCTGACCATATCACCCACCGTGTGCCGATTTGTTCTCTAAAAGAAGGTCTAACCCTATATGCCCAGGATGCCTTAAAGCGAGGAAAAGGGTCCTTTTACTTTTGATGGCAGCTAACCATTTTGTGTCCTTGTTTGTTTCCTCAAGTGTTGTTTTCTCTGTTTTGACCACACAAATATGCATGACTACCACATAGATGATATTTGGGGAGACGATGAAGATGATGAAGATGAAGCCGATGATGACAAAGGAGAGCCTGAGTGGGTCAGGTCGGAGAGGGAACAGTTTGCAAACTTCCGAGACAAGAATCATGATGGTAAACTTGATAGAGAGGAGATTGAAGAGTGGATCATTCCAGAAGATTACGATCATAGCTCAGCCGAGGCAGCACATCTCATTCAATCCTCAGATGAGAACGGGGTTTGTGAATGATTGTTTATGTAAACTTTTGTTAATAATCTGGAGTAATCAAGTATAATTTATAGATTAATAAACTAACTCTCCTTGACTTACCGTATAATCACCTGCTAACTCACACTGCCTCTCCGCACCGTGCTCATGTTGAAAAATAAATTAGTATTAAAACAGTGTTTTTCCCATAATGAATTTAAGTAATACGGACACAAGCAATACATTGCAGAATTTATTGCCTGGCATATTTAGTTGTTTCTCATCAGATGTGTTACTACAAAGTTAAATCAACATATATTGTGAAGCATAAAAACTAAATAAATGCCGTGAAAATGTGAGTTGCTGGGAGTTCAATGTAGTCACGTGACATAGCAAGGTCACTTTAAATTTAGTTTTTGTGCTTTATGTTAGTGTAACTCTGTAGTAACGCGCCTGACGAAATACAGCGAAATGAGTTGAGTTAAGAATTGACATCACAGCACTCGGGGAAATCCCATGCATGCTTCATCCTCATCTTCAGCAGCTAGCGCAGAATTCCAATACTGATGGTACCGATCAAAATCTGATTTTATGTCCATCCTGCCTTTCCTCTGAGTGAAGTGAGCCGGCCAGACCTTCTGGTTACACCTAGATGCCTCATTCCAGGCCAACATAATACTGCGAAATATGCCTGGCAATAAATTGTGCAAGGTATTGTTTGTGTCCACATTATTTAAATTAGTTTAATTCAGTTGTCATTCGACCTCCCGAGTCATAGTTCAGGTTTATTCTAGTTGCCATGGAGGGCATTTCTTTAACTAAACAAAAAACACAATTTTTCCAGACGATCAAAATTTTTTGAAAAGAACACAATTTTTCCAGAAGATCAAAATTTTCCATTTTCGGAAGTTGTGAAATTATTCTCAGTAAACATAAACTCACCTGTCCAAAATGAGAAATTTGGGTTCGAGGTGTGACAACTTTGTGCCGAGTTATTAGTTAATTGAGGTAATTTCACGATTATACTTGATTATTTCGGACAGTAGTTGCGTAACATGTAGTTCTTGTGCCATATTCTGTACCTGTTCCCCAAAAACTACTTGTCTCTGGCTTGTAGGTGACATGTGGCCACGTAACGCAGACAACCAAGTTCAGGAGGAACCTGACTGGGTTAAGTCTGAGCGGGAACAGTTTCTGAATTATCGGGATAAAAACAAGGATGGCAAAATGGACAAGGATGAAGTTATGGAATGGATTATTCCTCACGATTATGACCATGCTGCGGCCGAGGCTAAGCACCTTATTTTTGAGTCTGATGTCAACAAGGTACATATCTGCCATTGTTTTCTTTTATTTGGCATGGGTTGTTTATATGATAGTTTCTCTGTTTGATTTCATTGCTTTCTAAAAAACATAATATTATACATTTGTTAGAGTGTCTTCCCTTCTTTGTTGTTTTTGCTGTGCTTTTCTTCTACTTAGCTGCGGCGGAAAGTCTGTGGTTGTTCATCCACTTCTGGTTTTAGTCTTATTCCAGAACTTGAGTTTAGCCTGCACATCTGTTTTACAGATCCGGCCTATGCCTATGCCGTCTGTTGGTTCCTCACTCCTCAGGCATATGCACTCCAACTTTGAAGGAAACTCCCCTAATTAGATGCCTTTTACAACATGCTTGTTTTAGGTAAGGGGGGGGGGGGGGTGCGGAGATTAGGATCTATTCTGTTTTCTCCAGGGTTGGACACGGACAAGGATTTGTGCTCTTAAGTTCTAGAAGCACATAACAATTTCTGATGTCATACATTTGATCTTTGCCGCCTCACATTGTCTGAAGAATGATATGGCTGTCAGTTAATCTCTGTTTCTTTGTAGACTTTTCTTCTTCTGACAGTGGGGCATATGCCCTCATCCAGCTCTCGCCAATTCCTTTAAATTGTTGTTTTGGATTGATTGGATTTCCCAGCTAAAGTTTTTAGCAGGATCAGATGATATCAATCCCTCAGGTAGTAACAGGCTCCTAGATGTTTCTCAGGCGATTACTAGGGATAAATAACTAGAGTTTAACAGACACCTTAGTAAAGCGAAGCTGGAATCAATTTCAAGGGTGGTTGCACAGTGGATCTGTATTAAAGAATGAAATTAGAGCATGTGTTTAAAGTGAAACTAACAAAAAAAAAAAAAACACTGTGTTTTACATCGGAATTCCTAGGGGCAAAGAAATGAAGGCAGACCCCCTCCCCCCCTCCCAAAAAAATACCCAGAGATGTGAGCAAGAGAGGGCAGTGACAAAAATATGGGAAGGACAAGATGTGAGTCGCACGCGATAGCAAAGGATAGGACAACTTGGCATAAGTTGGTTGATGGCCTAAACGCCCCTGGGGGATAAATAACAGAAGAAGGAGAGCAGTGGTCTTTCAGAAAAAGACTTTTATCAAGTTAATAGAAAGATGGGAGTGTTTGTAGTCTGGAAGACATCCAGGTTGTAATGTAGGTAGATAATAGTAAAGAAAGAAAATTATAATATGGTGAACTTTGAAACAAGGATCAAGCAAAGTCTAAGGAAGATATGAGTTTTGTGAATGAGGGAGCAACAGGCTCATCCGGACAATGTAAAAACTATCTGCCCAGGTGCAGGTTTGAGTATATAAATATATGGTTCTAGCCCATATTCTGAGATGGATGGTGTGGTCTCTAAGTAACTATTACCTTTACTTCCCGTGAAATTTCCTAGTACCACTTTAAATCTGGATTAATTTTGTGACTCTTGTACTGCTGTCTGAAAATCACTTATTTAAAAACAGAAATTATCTGCCACAGAAATTATACCCTTGTACTAAGGAATCAAGAAATTGTTGAATGCAATCCCCAGCCTCTATGCCACTTAGCCTCACAATGTTTGAAAATCTGTGGTTACATTGGTCTCATGTCACCTAATTTACTTATTATGTCCACTGCCCTTTGCTTTGCTTTCTGACTAACCCTATTATCAGTTGTGTGCTTTTTATTGTAAACGTTCATATGAAATGTAAAAAGTTTTTTTATACGTAGTGTAAACAGTTTGCTTAAATATAGCATACTTATTTTGCTTGTGAATAGCATACATAATTTGCTCATATATTTAGCATACAGAATTTGCTTATATATAGGAAACACAATTTGCTTATGTGTAGTGTGTATAATTGCTTCAAAGTAGCATACAGAATCTGCTTTTAGATCATGTAGTAAACAGTATATAGAGACATTGTGACAACTGGACAGATCAGTGGAAAGAGGGCTAGAAGCAAACCAAGAGAGATGATGCAGGATGGGCTGAAACGATGGCGTTTAGGGATATCATCAAGAGAGCTGTTCCAGGCAACCAGGGACCGTGATCTGTGGAGATGCATGAGCGCCTATGCCAGTTGGCAGGGCACATGATGATGATGATATGTATATAGGACCATTTTACCCTAGTGGTGTAAGAGGCATATAATATGAGACTGGAATTTTTATACACCAGTTAGGACTCGATGCACAGTGTGTTCAACATTGTGCCGGCATCCTTTACTTCCCAGGACATTACCTGAAAGTTCTGGTTGTTTGGCCACTTCTGGACTTGTAGGCAGAGCATATTGGAGATCTTTTGCAGCTGTATGGCGAAACACGTCTATGTCACCTTCGAGGCTGGGATAGGAGACATTATAACCAACCTCTCATGGGAACAATTAGTAAAAAGGACTTGAAGTTGCTGCTGCATCAGAGGACTAAGCACCTATGGGAATGCTAATGTGCCGTGCTGTCGATTGTTACATAACATTGCAGCTAACCTGTATTTCAGAGATAGCACCTAATGGATTGTATTAGGGAGAAGTGACTAGCATTGATGCCAGTTGGCTCAATAATCAGGGAATCACATTCATAAAAAAATGTCACCTGAGCTCCCAGGTAAAATAAAAAACAACTGCCAATTACTGCCTTTATTATACCACTTATGCGTTGTAGGTAAGGGGGTCTTTGAGCCTGAGGATTCATGGCCGCATGGCTAATGCTGTCATCATACCTGGGCCTCCCGGTTGAGAGCCCAGCGCTATAACTGTTTGGCCAGACACATTTCAGATCAAACCAGCCTAAAATGGGTACAGGATGTGTCCTATAAAAGCAAAGGCAGCAATCATGGTGTTGACCGCTTCGTTCATATGTTGACATGTTGGGTAAATAAATATACGTGTCTAGCCAGGGGCTTCTTTCAAGTGTCTGTACTTATTACCAAGTGTCTGTTTACAGTAGGACCCACACATTCAACGTATCCTCTGACAAACATTATGCTTAAACAACAGAGTTGTACCAGACCACCAGAAAAACAAATAGACAAACAAAAGCAAACTTAAAAAAAGCTTACATAAAGGTGTCAGTATTGCATCCCTTATATAAAGCTATAAATAAAGCCCTATATGTAGCATCATATGCTTGATTCATCTCAGGGCATGAAAAGGCTCCTTCTTTAATGGTTAGACACAACAATTTACTTGTTTTTATCATGAATTTTTTTTTAAAATTAATGAAACATCTAATGTATTTTTTGTTTCTTTTAATTTTCTATCAACAACAGGATGGGAAGCTGTCGAAGGAAGAAATACTTGACAAGTATGACTTATTTGTCGGCAGCCAAGTAACAGATTTCGGCGAAGCCCTCACTAGACATGAAGAGTTTTAACTCGCAACTACAGACATAGTTAACAAATTACAAAGAAGAAAACAGAGTTACCTCCCTTTAGCCGCTGATCTACGAGGTCATTGACTTCAGTGTTTTCCATCCGCTGCCTCTGTAAATATGCGTGAAGTTGAACTTAAATCAAAAATGCAAGTGTGCTATTATTATTGGTGTTTGCATGGTTGTAGTTAAAGTTAGCTGTGTATCCGCAGATACTGTGCATTTATTCATATGCCAGATAGGACAGTTTATGTATTCTGTGTTTTAAAAGAGATTGTTTAGCATGGAATCACGTATGTTTGTCTACGCATATATAGTTTTTAAACTTAACACTGTTATCTTT